GGAGATCTGGTCAGGTGCAGTGGCGGGTGGCTGAGGGAACCCAGGTCTTCCACCGCGACACCATGAGAGGGACCAGTTGTTTCAAACAGCTTAAATCCTGGAGACCAAGCACCCAGTGTACTGGCCAGGCCTAGGTGGCCTCCTGATGGCAAAGCACTGCTTATTCTCGGCTGCTTCTCCCTGCCTCACGTCTCCATCTTGCAGGCACCAAATGGGACCTGCCCCAGCCCGGGTTTCATTCAAGTGTATTACGCACTGGGTGTATACCACCTTCACAAACCACTTTGAAAGCAATCTAAGGAAAAGCCAACTCACTGTTTTTCTGCTTCTTTCTGTCTCTTGGTGGCTCCTTGAGGGCTTTGATGATCAGGGCAGAGGCAGAAGGCACCACCTCAATCTGCAGAAGAGATTCTCTATTAAGCCCACCCCTCTCCGAGTGCATGCCACTGCCACAGAAGGACAAGCAGCCCTGGCACAGGAGCCACCCCTCAGGGACCAGACACTGGGCTTGCTCTCCATGAACACATGGAAAGTGTCTGCCCGCTGTCTCACATGTGAAAGGCTGACGTCTAGAAGCTGTCAGTCTATACCTCTGACCCAGTCCCTGCTCGTGACAGAAAGGCCTTCCCACCACAGCTCCCCACGGGCAGCGGGACCCTTCCTCTAGAGCCCCAGAAGGTTACTGCTTCTGCTCTCCTTCAAACCAAGTACAAGCGGCACATACCTGAGCCTGTCTGTTCTGAATGGTCAGTTTCACCGTGATCCGCAGGCCCTTCCAGTCACCAGTTGCCTTGGCAATGTCATCCCCCACTTTTTTTGGAGACTGTAGAAATAAAAGCAGGTAACTACACCGTGCACAAGGAGCCACCTGAACCACCCACGCCGATGTAGCTAATGGAGGGCCCAGAGCCACCTTGGTACACAAGGCTGGATGGAGGACTCAAATCTTGTCTAGGGCTGTGAACTGCAGGATCAAGGCCAAAAGGGGCCCCAAGTCTCTTATACTAGGATAAGGGTTTTCAACCCTGGCTACCAAGAATTACTGAGGGAGCTTTAATGATACCGGGCGCCCACATCAGACCGATCCAACTCTGCTGGTCAGAACAGAGATCTGAGCATGTACTACTTTAAATTCCCCAGAGACCCTTTTTGATGCCAGCCGAACTACGGGCCAAGGAAGCAGCACAACGGTTGGCCAAAGAGAAAACGCAGTGGGGACCGGATCACTGTCTGTGAAAGAAACAGGCCGCTAGATACGCTTGCCAGGACGCTACCCCACCCCACTGTACCCAATGGCGCCGGGGTCACTCCCCCATCCAAACAAGCAGCTGCTAAGAAGCCGGCTGCCCAATGTCACTCAGCCCAAGCCCCTCCTAACCGCAGGGCCCTCACACCCCTCAGGAACCCAAACACCAAAAGCAGCAGTTAAGTAACAAAGTTCCGGCCTCGTTTTGTACACGTGACACCTCTACGGTGGCCACGGGCTCAAGGACTCGTAAGCGGGAACGGTTGTGTTTTGCACAAAGCCAAGCTCAACTCTGCTCTCACTTAGGGAAACGAACGACGGAGGAGACTTACCAGACCCAAGGGACCGATCTTGGGGGCCAGGGCAGACGTGGCGCCAACTTCACCACCGGTGCACCTCAGGTACACTGGGAGAAAGAGAGGGTTAGAGCCCCTGTGGAGGGGGCCTGAGCCGCGGCCCCCTCCCCACACCAGTCAGTGGCTCTTCCCCAAGCGGCGCCGAGCCCCTCCCCGGAGAAGCAAATGGCCCTGGTACGAGCCTTACCCTAAGGCACGCGGGCTTTGCAAGGTCGTCCGGTCCTCCCTCCCCATTTACACGTGGGGCAGCTGAGGCCCAGAAAAGAAAAGCCCTGTCCCGGCCACGCAGCGCCGGAAGGCTTCTAGGAAGCGCGTGCCTGGACCCCGGCACAAAGACATGCGGCGGGGGCCGCGGGAGGAGCGAGGCTCCATCCGCAGCCGAGGCTGCAGGTAGGGCACGCACCGACTTTAATCTCGTTGGGGTCGAACTTGGGCGGCATGCTGGAGGTGGCTGGTGTCGGATGAACCCGGATTCGGGACGACCGAAGAAAGTTGCACCTTAGCCTCCTCCTAGCCGAAAGCTGAAAGACCGGAAGCTTCCCTGATCACGCCGGAAATAGGCACGAAAAAAGCACTCTCTCGCGAGAACGGCTGGCTCCGCCCACCCTCTGAGTGACGCCCTTGTCGCCATGTTTCTTGTGGGCAGGCGCCTGAAGCTGGCTGCCGGAAAGTCAGGTACCGCGGTGAGCTGGGGCTAGGGAATCAGAAAGGGCTTTGAGGGCACTTAGCGCAAAGAGCGTTAGAGAAAAGGGGGCTTCTGAGATTGTAGGCTCTGCTGATCCCTATGTTTCATTATCTTGAGGGTCACTTCGGGGTCCCAAGCACCCAGCCCCAGAGCCCCGCCCATCCCTTGACGGGTCCGCAGCCCCACTCCAAGACCTCAAGTGTTTGGAAACTACAGGCCCCTTCTAACCCTTTGGTGATGCGTGTATTGTAGTTATCCCGACAGTCTATTCGGGTCTAAATCAGTACACCTCTTAATTCTACGATTCCGCGGAATCCAGAGTCTCAGACTTCGTTGTCCTGGTGTTCGTGACTTTTTTGAGATTCTGAGTTTTGTCCCAGCTCCTGCGTTTCGAGGAGACCGGTGCCGCGGATCAGCGATCCCGCACCCGTGACCAAGCCCTCTGAGTGACCGGCCAGCCTTAAGGTCCCCCCGGAGGGTCCGAACGTCGGGGACCTCACAGTCCACGTAGTCAGGTCCGCCACTGCCCAACCCGGCCGGGGAGGATGGGTGTGGTTCTCCCCATCTGGGTGAACCCCGGGGAGGAGAATGAATGATGGATAGAATTCGGAAAGCAGATGCAAAGAACTCATTGAAACGGAACGGGAGTCACGGTCCCTGAGGAAAAGGTTGGCAGAGCTGGGCATCAGGAAGGGGGTGAAGGAGGGCCGGTAACTGGGGAGCAGAAGGGTAAGCACTGTCACCAAGGCAGGTCGGGGAGGCCGTTCCACAGCCCTGCAGGCAAGTGGATGACCTGCATGCACGGAGCTGCTGTGCAGGCCTGGCAGCCTCCCCCAGACAGCCCACACCCCTGTGGGCAGAGACCTGTGAGCGCTACTCAGCCCGCTGAGGACCTAGGGTGTGTCTTCAACTGCTTCTCTTTTCTCCCTACCTCCTGCAGTAGTTAGTCCCCAAGTCAGTGTTTGTCACATGTAGGATTTTGTGTATGATTATGCTCCATTTATTGAGCATTTATATGCGCCACGACTGTGTTACAGGTTTCAAATACATGAAACCATTCAGTCCACACAGAGCCCAACGTTACAATTTTCAGCCGAGGAACAGGCTCAGAGGGGAACAGAGGTGACAGTTGATGGGAGGCAGATCTTGGTTTTAAACGATGCTGAATGATTGCTTTCTGTCCCATCACTGTCCTTTATCAAGCATGAATCGTTGCAGATACTGTACAGGCCCTGGCGGGGCTGCGAGTACCTGGCTTCTGAGTTCAAGACAGTGTACTTAGTGTGTGTTATTTGAGAACCCGCGTGTGTGATTTGGTTGTTGGGCAGACTGCACAGGATCAGGACTTGAAAGACTGGGGTTCCAGGCTGGTTTTGCTGTAATCCAAGGTACAGAACCGGATCACTGAGCTCAGAGGGTGTCTGTTTCTCCACTAGAAACAGGGCTGTGGTGGAAGCAAATGGAATAATAACTGAGGGTGGTGAATCTGTTCAATGGGAAGGAAAAAGTGAGATGAGGGAAAGGACAAAAGAAAGGAAAAAGATGTAATTATGTATCTATGCAGGATAGCTTAGATAACTGTACTGCTGATTTCTGCTGGTCTGTTGAAAGGAGCAGTTGATGCTTCCATTTTTTCTCTTTTCACCAAGTTTGCATGTTTATATTTGGTAATTTAAACAACTAATTTGAGAATAACATTATGTAATATAGCAACCATTGTAGAATTTCTATTATTTTCTTTAGTGAAATTCTATATTGTTTCTTTTTTTTTAATTCATATATTTGGCACAAGGTCTCACTATACAGCTCAGACTCATGGTGATCCCCCTCTTTTCAGCCTCCCTGAGATCACAAGCATGTGCCACCACACCTGGACTCAGTATCCGGCTCAGCGTGTCCGTGGGCAGGCTGGCGTGGCATGCAGTGCTGGGGGTTGAACCCCAGTTCCTGCACCTTGTATTATTTCTCATGTATCTTGGGATGTGAGTTGAGCTTCCCAGGCCATTGCTGGCTGGTTCCTCCGCTGACAGTGGCAGCATTGTTGCTGGGGCTAGGCGTGACCCCGCAGCTGGGTCTGCCAGGGAGCATCCTTGGAAGCAGCTAAGGAAATGCCCCTAAGGTGGAGGAGAGATGCGGCCCAGAACGGGAAGCGGCAGTGCCACGGCTTCACTGTGGGTCGGTGGTGAATGTGGGCCCAAGCCCAGGGCACCTCGCCCGCCTTTGTGCTCCCTCCACGCTGTCCTACTGTTTACTGTCGCATTAGCACAGCATAGAGTAGGAAGCATGCAGCGTGGGGCCCAGGGCAGTGACGGGCCAGGTGTCTAGCGCAAGAGGCGCACTGTCCAGCAGGCCAGCTGCAGGGCTGGCGGTCCTGTGCTACCTGTCCTGGGTACTGGGGCTGTCACAGATCCCTAGGTACTAAGGGCCTGGGAGATGGCTCAGGGGAATAAGCGCTTCCCTGGCAAGTGCAAGGGCCTGAGTTCAATCCCCTGTTCTGCAAAAGAAAAGAAAAGAAAAGAAAAAAAAAAAAAAAAACAGATCCCTAGCTGCTAACTTCTCTCCTGTGCCCCAAAGTCCTGAAAATCACTCTGGGAAAACGGAAGGATGCCACTCTTCTTCCGGAAGCGGAAGCCCAGTGAGGAGGCTCGGAAACGCCTGGAGTACCAGATGTGTCTGGTGAGGAGAAGTGGGTTTCCCTGCTCCTTCCCGGCTCCCTCTCTGCCCTGTGCCATAGGGCTCCGCAATGCTGTGCTCCATGCCAACTGCCTCCCCTGCCCTCTGCCAAGTGCCCGGCCCCTTCTAGCTTAGTGCACTGACCCTTACTGACTATGTTCTTTCCCCTGCTGGACCTCAGGCTTCCCTGGAGCCACTGGCCACTCACAGAATGCACTAGGGAAAGCAGCCCATGCTGGTCTCTTACTGCTTCTTAATTCCATGTTTCTTTGCCTGGTTCATCTCTAAGAATGTTTTGTTTGAACACTTAAAAGTGCTCTGGGCTGGAGGTGTAGCTCAGTGGGCGATTTCTTGCCTAGTTTACTGCTGGCTGTATCCCTAGAACCACGCAACAGGTAAGCCAACGTTCTTTTTTTCCTTAGGCAAAAGAAGCTGGAGCAGATGACATTCTTGACATCTCTAAATGTGAGCTCACAGAGGTAAACTGAGGGCCGTGTGTGGGCTATAAAATTGATCTTTCCTGTTTTCTTAGATGTCCCCAGGAGTGATGGATGTGGCCTGGGGCTTTAAAAAAACCAAGAGAAGGGTAGTGTAGGGGTAGGGGAATGGGGGAAAGAACAAATCAGGTTATATCATGTAGAAGTACAAATTCTCTATGATGAATGAGATCATTATATACACCTAAAACATAACCCATAAAAATCATTTAATTTAATTTAATTTATTTATTTATTTATTTGTGGAACCGGGAATTGAACTCTATCCCTTGTGCTTCCAGGGAAGCACTTATTCCACTGAGCCATCTCCCCGGCCCCCCATACAAATCATTTTAAAAAGAAAGAAAAAGCCAGAAGTATTGGTCGAGAGATGTTTCCTGATTACATTCTTGCTTAAAGGAACTGAAGGGCCAGGGATACAGCTCAGCGGCATAAGTGCCTGCCTGGGAAGTGTGAGGTTCTGAGTTCTATCCCTGGTACCCGAAAAAAAAAAAAAAAATTAAAGGAATTGAGATGGTCTTTTGTCTTAAACATAATCTCCACAAATCAAGAAGCCTCTTTAGAAAATGCACCCAGAAATTGCTGGGGTGCTGGGAGAGGGAGGATTCTGCAGCCCCTGACTGGGTCCTGATGGGGCAGGGTAGGGCAGCCTCGCGGCAGCGGCCAACAGAAGGCTGAGTGCATGCCCTGCGCCACTCTGCAGCTTCCCCGACAGAGTGTGCTCTCAACATCCACCCTCGCTCACCACCTGCCCGTCTCTCTCCCACCAGTGCCAGGCAGAGAGCAAATTAGAGACCGTCAGGAAATGAGGGACTGATTGCCCACTCTCTCCTCTAGATTCCATTTGGGGCCTTTGCAACATGCAGAGTTCTACAGAAGAAGGTGAGCTGAGCCCTCATATGCAGATCGGTGCACCTCTGAAACGTGCCGCGATGGCAGGGGCCCTCCTCCCCACCCAGCTACCTCCCCTCTCACTGGCTGTCGCCTGTCTGTCAGCCCACACCTGGTCTGAACATCCAGGAGAGCAGGCTGGGGTGGGGACAGCTCTACATTACTCTCTGCTCTGCCCTTCGCTGGCTTTGTGAGTCAGGCAACTTCCTCAGCTCTGACAGCTGGATTTCTTCCTCTGGGAATCGAGGCCACTCAGAGTTTATGCTCCCGGAGGTACTGGGAGAGTTAAGGAGTGGTGGAGACAAAGGATATGATGCCGGCCCCGAAGCAAATGCACTCATTTTACTGCAGCTACTCGGGGAGGAGGGGAGTGAAGGCCAGCTCAGAAGCAAAGCCCAGCTCCCGCACCTTTGGGTGCAGTAGGCTCATGTACACTAAGCGGAGCCTCTAGATGCAGACGGGTGGGAAACATTCCACAGCCACTGCGTAGTGAGCGCCCTGTCCTGCGAAGTAGTAAAGCAGCAGCTGATACCTAACAGGGTCGTGATGGGACGCAGAAGTTGAGCACCGCACCACGGGCCAGCCCTGGGCCAAGGCACTGCATCCATTAGCTTATTTAATCTTGACCTCAGAGGCAGATACTTTATCTTTTTGTTTTTCAAGATGACTCCAAGGCTGGGGGAGGTTAAGGTCAGGACACCTGGGGAGGGGTAGTTGGACACAACTGTCATCCCAGTACTCAGGAGGCTGAGGCAGGAGGATGACCACAAGTTGGAGGCTGGCCTGGGTTACATAGTAAGT